CACAAGCCCTAACACATTTTCATCGAGACCTTCTTGTTTAGCTACTATCTTTGTAGTTGAAAGAAGGCGGCCAAGAATATCACAATGTCTCTCCTCTGCCTTAGAGAGACCAGTTAATCAATCCTTCACCTTTGAAATAAGAAGAATGTGCACTGGAGCTTTAAGGGTTTATGTCCTTGAAAGCCAAAACCTGATCAACCTCACAAACAATGTCACCTGATAATTCTTTGTGTATAATCTTGTTGAACATTGTGGGAGAATCTCATGAAACATTGAGAAGTTTCTTTCTTCCCGAAAGAACATGAAGATGATAATAACATTGATAGTATGAACGAATTGTGTGTTGTAATGTATAAGAGAAGAAGAAATGATGCGAAGCGAAGTCAAATAATGTATTACATAAATGTAAAAAATTTAAATAATAGATTGAGTTATATATTAGTTGTGATGCTTTTATATGTTATTTTTGTTGCTTTTTGTTGCATTGTATATGATTTTTTTGTTGCATCATGTTGCTTTTTGTTGCATCATGTTGCTTTTTGTTGCATCATGTTGCTCTTTGTTGCATCATGTTGTTTTTTGTTGCATTATGTTGCTTATTGTTATTTATAGGTGACTTTGAAGGCATATATACCAAATGCCCAATTTAGTAGCATGATATTTTAAATTGTTGTATTTTAAGGACACTTCTCATCTTAAATGTGGGAATACATATTCAAAAACTATGATACTTCAATATGGTGCTTTTGTTTCTCTTTGTTGCATGGTGTCTCTTTTTTTGTTGTATCAGGTTAGTTTTCTTATTTTGGCACATTAAAAAAGGAGAAACAAATCTGATGGATTCTGCGTTAAGATACATACAAGGAAGAAGAAATGTGATCAAGCAAAGCCAAATAGTATAATAGATAGATGATATAAATTAAATAATTGATTGAAATATATATTAGTTGTGATTTTTTTGTTGTTTGTTGTTTCATTTTGTTGTATCAGACTTGTTTTCTTTTGTTGCACTGTGTTTCTTTTTGTTGTATTGGGTTGTTCTTTGTTGCAATGTGTTGCTTATTGTTGTTTATTGTCGATTTTGTTTGTAATTTAATATTTAGGTTTATATTTATCTTGACTACTTCCTCAAAATAAACAAAAACTTATAAAATTTGTGTGAACACACTTAAAATTATAATTTTAAATATATGCATATAAAAACAATTAGAAACAATAAAAAAATGTAATATTCAGATTTATCAACAAAAGGAAAAAAATTAAGTTTTTATAATTTTTATGATTTTAGATTTTTTTAAATATAATTTACGTATTTTCTATTTGTTACTACTTCCGTCCCACTAATATTTAGACGGAAGGGGGTGGCACGGTTATTAAGAAAAGTAAGTATATATAGTTGATATTAATTGATAAAGTAAGAATGATTTATAGCTACACAAACTTTACCAAATTTGATACTCCCACTATCCCTTAGGACTTTGTTATCTTTCCTCTTTCGGACGTTCCAAAAAGTTTGGCCACTTTCTCTTTTAATCTATTATTTTGTGGTTTCTGTTATTTCTCTCTCCTCTGCACAAACCTCAATCACACAATTTTTACTTTATTATTCTTCGTGCCGGTCATTTTTGTCAAAGTTTTAAGGGACGGAGGTAGTATGAGATAATTTTAGTGGGATTTCCCGAAAAGTTAAAATGAGACAATATTAGCGGGACGGAGGGAGTACAATTTATACTTCCCTTTTTTGTATTGATTTCAAAAAAATTGTTTCAATTTTATTTTCTTAATTTTTTATATTTTTATATAAATTATGGTGTATACAAACTCTTTTAAAAATCTTACCAATCCACAATTGATTCATTTTTATTTTCGGTTTTTATTTTTATAAGGTGTTTTCAATACGTATTTTTTAAATACCTTTTCTATTTTCAAAAGTAATTTATAAATTTTAGGCTGTGTACTTATTATTATGCATTTTCTGTTTTTTCCTTACTTCTAATATTGTTAATATTTTAATTTTAAATTTTTCATTTACATTTACTTTTGATTATTTTAATTTATTTACATGTCCGTACGTTGGTACAATTTTTTCTTATAAAAAACCTAAAACTAAGTCAACCTGGAGCTTAGCTCGCTGGTACGACAGACGAAGTTTTATTTTACGGAGTATCAAATAAGGTGCTGATGACGTGGCTTCTTGTGAATATGGATTCCAGTGAACGGAACGGGTATATGAAGACATGTCTATTTTTGAAAAGAAAAAGTTTACTAATCTATTTTTGAAAGAAAATTTAAATGGTGACATAAATGATATAATTCTCCCGTTTAAGTCTATAAGTGATATTTTCCCGCCTTTCTTTCCAAAAGCATATACCACAAAAACGCACTTGCGACTCCGACTAGTGAATTTGTCACCTTTTGATTTCATATTAAAGGCATAACACAGGCAACCAAAAACACGCAAAGATTTATAGCAGGGTCTGACACCAAATAAAACTTCATATGGTGTCTTATATTCCAGAACTGCAGAAGGAGTGCGATTAATAAGATGTGCCGCAGTTAATACACATTCGCCCCAAAAAGTAATCAGCAGATGCCCCTGAAATCTCAACGCACGAGCTATATTTAAAATAAATATGCCTATGATTGCGTTCAACACGTCCATTTGTTGGGGTGTACCAACACAGGATGTTTGAAAAATAATGCCACTTTGACGGAAAAAATCTTTTAAGCAATTAAACTCAGTGCCATTGTCACTCCTTACAACAACAAGTTTCTTACCAAACTGACGTTCAACCATAGCTACGATAGACAAGAACATTTTAAACACTTCTCTTTTATCCAAAAGAAGATAAACCCATACCGCTCGAGAATAATCATCCACTATAGTTAAAAATTGTTTAGCACCACATGAAGGAGTATGATAAGGTCCCCACAAATCACAATGTATTAATTCAAAAACATCATGAGTTGTACTAGAGCTAATCGGAAAAGGATCCCTAGCTAGTTTCTTTAGCTCTAAAACAAACATCACAAGGTAAAATCTCAGAATTCTTTATTCCACTCACAGGATCTAATTTTTCCATCACCTTTGAACATGGATGTCCTAGTCGCTGGTGCCACAATTCCACAATCTTATTATGTGAACCTCCTCCTCTAACAGTCAAAACTCGAGCAGTAAAATCCTCCCGTAGATAATACAGTCCATTTCGCCCCTCACCCGTTCCAATCAGTTTTCTCGAGAGACGGTCCTGAATAACACATACGTTATGAGTGAATTGAACAAAAAGAACAGATATAAGATTGCAATTTAAATTTGGAACAAAAAGAACATGTTCTGAAATTAAATTGTCTGATATAATCACACGTCCTGCTTTGTTGGCCATAACCGTCTGCCCATCTGGCAGACCAACCGTACATGATTCAATATTTTTAATCTGACATAATAGAGTCAAATTTCCACAGATATGATTAGTGGCTCCAGTATCAATTATCCAAGCATCCGTATCAAACTTACCATCCATTCGATCATTAGAGGAGGATGAAAGGTTGCCAAATGTTGAAATCAAAGATTTCCATTGTTCGGCGGAAAAACCTGGCAAAGGTGTGGACTATCTAAGACTTCCGTCCCCAACATGATTAATTGGCTGTGATATTTTTGAGTTTTCAACCGCAGGAGCATGTACTTTTGCCATGGGTTTGCAACGATTTTCTCCATATGTATTTGATTCACCTTGTCCGGCACTATCGCCGGACACAAAACCTTCTTCGTTCGGCATGGTTAATTACCGAGACTCTGATACCATGATGATTTACGTGAGAATTGAGCTGAAGCAAAAGGAATGATTAATCTGTATATCAAATATGTGTACATGTAGTTTTTAAATAAAACTTTGGAGTGCCGATTTGCAAGGATCGGTTCCAATGTAAAAAGGAGAAAGTCTCCTAATATAACTCAATTACATTATTAGGAAAACATTCTAAAAACATATGTGCTCCATAAATAAATTATCCTCTAATAGTTTTCAATATATAACTTTCACATCTAAGGATCTTTTTACTTGGACTATAATTTGCTGGTCTGGTCTGATCTGGTCTAGTCTGGTCTGGTCTGAACTGGTCTGGTCTGGTCTGGTTTCTTTGTATTTTCATAACTATCCAAGTCTGGTCTGGTCTGGTCTGGTCTAATCTGGTCTGGTCTGGTCTGGGACAAATTACAGTCCAAGTAAAAAGATCCTAAACAATATGAACATAAATCCTTGCAATTACACGTATAAGTATTTACATAACAATTAGATAATACATAGTGTTATCTCGGGTGAAAATCTAGTGTTACCTTAATAAGACTATCTTATCCTTAGTTTTAATGAAAATGAAAAGCGATGCAAGCTACAGACTATAGAGAGTTCACACGCACACCCATCAATTCAATCAATTGCAAAACTAATTCACTACCCCCGAACCATATCTAGTCCATACCTAAACCAAACCATATCAAATCAAATCAGACTTTGATAGTTGCATAATGAACATAGAATAAATAACTATCAGAATAGACTAGAAAAGATCATATCAAATCAGATCAAACAAAAAATATCAGTCCAACTAAAAGCATCCTTATTAGCACTATAATTATATGTTATTGATCATAATATTAGAATTTGGGTCAAATTAATATGTACACTTCACAATTGTCTTATAATAATTTGATGTGTTTTGAATTAACACTTTAGTAAAATGAACATTAGCAACCATTAAACATATTAACAGACATGATTTTTTTGGATGTCATATTAAAGATCATAAAAAATATTTAACTTAACATATTTTTTTTATAAAAATGCGGATGAAGAGGCATAACAATTGGATTAAAAAAAAGGGGGGGGACTGGCGTGTGATAAACTAATTTAATGGTGCTGCCAAGCAATTAAATCAAGTAGGGAGTAATCAAAATGATTAGTAAATTAAAGAGGTTGACCGATCATGAAAGAAATCGGGTGCGCCCAGCATTTGTTCGGGTGCGCGGATTAGCCCGTATCCCATATCAACGGACATACTTGTTGAACTTAGGGGTGCCCTAAGAAATTAGCCCGTATCCCATATCAACGGGTATACTTGTTGAACTTGGGGGTGCCCTAAGAAATTAGCCTCCGCCCTCTGCCGCTGCTGCCATCGACAGGAGACATGCTGCCGCCGTTCAAAGGACGTTTCTTCAGGGCACGGCGTCCCCAGATGGAACACCGCTTCTTCCGGGTAGGCAATGCTTCCTTCAACGAGTATAGATGGCCGACTGAAATCACTAGCGTTCCCAGGGACCAGAAACAGCGTATGTTGATTTTTACATTTCTTTCGACGAATACTGTTTTCATCTTCTGTATTTGGTATGCACTTCCATTTGCTCCGTATATAGTCAGAGTTGAATTTCAGTTACTCAGAGCATCTCCAATGCTAAAACGTTAACGGTGCATACGTGTCATGATAGATAGCCAATCAAAAAACAATAATAAAAATATCTCTCTCCTTATTTGAAGGATTTATATCATTTTGATAAGTTTTTCTTCACAATGTCAAGCACAACGTCTAGATGTAGACACTGTGATTGACATTGCAGAGAAAAACTTACAAAAAACACAAAAGACCGTGGAAAGACGGAGAGAGAAATGTCTTAAAATCAATCTTTTGTGTCTATCTCTCTCATGCCACATGTGCACCGTGCACGTTGTAGCATTGGAGATGCTCTCAGTTGGTTAAATAGAGTTATTTAGGGAAAACTTCCCAAAACATGAGTAAATATACACGGTGGTTTCCCTCAATATGAGTACTCTGTTTTTTATGACAAAAGACAATTAAACTTCTATTTGTTCACAAGACTTGTGTGTTACACTTATTTGCAATAACTTCTTAGGATCGAATCCGATCCATTAGCCGGTCCAACCTAATGTCTTGTAAACCTGTTCTCTCTATAGTTTTATAATTACTTATATAATTATTATTGTAACTATACTTGTAATATTGATTTCTATAATTGCATTATAACTATAATTATAAATAGAAATATAATTACTTCATATAATAATAGTTACAATAACAACAACAACAACAATAATAATTATAAATATAAATATAAGTATAATTATAATTGTAGTTATAATTATAATTTTAATTATATTATTATATCAGAACAGTGATAATATTATAATAATGAATTATATTAATATTAGTATTATTATTATAACAATAATAATATAATAATAACATTATTATTATTATTATTATTATTATTTTTATTATTATTATTATTATTATTATTATTATTATTATTATTATTATTATTATTATTATTATCATTATTATCATCATCATCATCATTATTATTATAATATGGTAATTATATTAATACATTTACTATTTTATATTAATATATTATTATTACTATTATTACTATTATTATATTACTAATGTATTATATTATTATTAAAATATAATAATAATAATAATATTTATATTATTAATATTATTATTATTATACTATTATTATTATTATATTATTATTATATTAATATATTATTAATAATAATTATAATATTTTAATTATAATAGTAATAATAATAATTAATATAAAAATAAAAGTGATAAATCATGTTTGAATTTTTCTGAGCTGATCTGAATGTTTCTGATCTGATCTGATCTGAATATTTCTGATCTGATCTGATCTGATCTGAATGTTTCTGATTTGATATGAATTTTTCTGATCTGATCTGATCTGAATAAAATAAGAATAAGGAATAAGTAATAAGATTAAGACAAACAGAACAGCTTCTAAATGTCTTAACTACCCTTCACTACCCACCCACTTTTTACATTTGAGTGCATATGATTAATTCCCCCCAAAAGGCAAAGGGCATGCAAGACATTTGTTCTTCTATTAATTGAACTCATAAATATTGTGCCAAAAGCAAACGGTCAAGTTCTATCCGGGAAGGGGGAGTACTACGTAGTACTCCGTACTTAACATAATATTTGCTGTCAACTTGGGCAATTGGAAGCTCTGTTAATTCACTTCCTTCTTCTTCTTCTTCCCACATTACTCCATTTCCAATTTGTAAACCCACAGTCAAGAGAAATTCTCGATCTTCACCCTCGCGTCATATTTGCTGCAATCTTCGTCAAGTCCTAAATCGAATTGAGGCGGTAAAAAACACACAAAAAGTCACAGAGGCCATGAAATTGGTGGCCGCCGCAAAGGTTCGGAGAGCTCAAGAGGCTGCCGTCAGTTCTAGACCCTTTGCCGAGGCCCTTGTTGAGGTTCTGTACAACATGCACGAGCAGCTCCGGGGGGAAGACGTCGAAGTCCCTTTAACAGCCATTCGTCCTGTGAAAAAAATTGCGCTGATTGTCGTCACCGGTGATAGAGGCCTATGTGGAGGTTTCAACAATGCCATCCTGAAGAAAGCCGAGATTCGTATAAAGGAAGTGGCGGATCTTGGCTTGGATTGCACCATAATAAGTGTTGGGAAAAAGGGGAATTCTTATTTTTTTAAACGGAGGGAGGACAAAACAGTGGATAGTTATGTGGAAGGAGGGAAATTTCCAACCATAAAGGATGCACAAGTAATAGCAGACAATGTTTTCTCTTTATTTGTGAGTGAAGAGGTTGATAAGGTGGAGCTGTTGTATACAAAGTTTGTGTCTTTGATCAAGTCTGAGCCTATAATTCACACTTTGCTTCCATTGTCCAAAAAGGGAGAGGTTCGAGACGTGAATGGGAAGAGCATTGATGTGGAGGGGGATGAGTTCTTTAGGTTGAGCACAAAGGAGGGGAAACTAACAGTGGAGAGGGACCATCATAGGAATAATGAAAACAGAAAAGGGTTTTCACCTTATATGTAGTTTGAGCAAGACCCTGCACAGATTCTTGATGCATTGATGCCTCTTTACTTGAACAGTCAAATTTTGAAGGCGCTTCAAGAGTCATTTGCAAGCGAGCTTTCATCAAGGATGAACGCAATGAGTAATGCCACTGATAATGCTATCGAGCTGAATAGGAACCTCTCCATTGCTTATAACCGGCAGAGGCAGGCTAAGATCACTGGTGATATATTGGAGATTGTTTCTGGAGCAGAGGCTTCCCTTACATAGGGGTATTGTTTAGCTTTCGATCTTCATTGTTTTTGCATGAGTAATATTTTGAGTTGATCAGCAGGTAATTTATTTGCCAATGGATTATAGCTGTAGTAGAATATTCTGAAGTATAACTTGTAGGGGTTTCCTATAACATTACTTAAATAAAATCAATGGTCCCTGCGCATTACAAATGCCACATTTTTGTGCATGACATTTTTTACTATTCCCTATGCTTTCTTGATTTTGAGTTAAACCCCAAATTCCCAAAAGTAGAACAATTGAAAGCAAAGTCCACAAGTTTTAAACTGATCTTCACTTGGAAAGCAATAAGAAAGTAAGAAAGTAGCTTAGATATTGTGTGTAATGTGCCAGGTTTGAATTTGATTTAAAAAAATGGTGCATCGCATTAGAGTTTAATAATGAATGGAAATACTAATATGGAACACATATGAAGCACATTATATTGTGGCACTACTGTTGTATACTTGTATGATGTAAAATTCCTATCAATGGCAGTTTGCTACACATCATATCCACACATGCATTGCACTTAGAAACAGTAAATTAGGCACCCGTTGGGTTTTCTGTTTCCACTCAAAATAGTAAAATATCATTGGGAAAAAATCTGAAAAACTTATCTGGATCAATATAAAAAACTAAAAAGAATGTTGAATAACAAAAATGGGCATGTTTTAGAAATATTTTCCAGACAAATTTGATTATTTGTTCTGAGTTTCACACTTGCAAGACATCTTAATTCACTCTATATCGAATAGATATAAAGATATGAGCTCACATTTTAGAAACTGATAAGAATTTATATAGTTGGTTTCACAACCATAAAAAATACTAACAAATGTATTACTAAGTATCCTAAAAAGATCATGTTTTAATAAAACTCAACTACTATGAATGAAGTGGTGGAATCTAGTAAAGATGCCAAAGTTGTGGGTGAAAGAAATGAATAATGTCAAAACCAGTTGTGCAGATTCGAATTCAAAGGGCTAGGGAAAGATAGAGCTAAATAGTCTTTTTTGGTTGCTTCCATTTCAATGGCTTTGCTCTCAGTCCAAAGTTTAAAGTGGCTTTAAGTCTTATCCGCCAAAAAGAGACATCACTTCTAGTATTCTATAGTGCTGTCTATTGTTCTAATGGTCCAACTTTATTTTGTCAAGTACTATGCTTGTTTGGATTCGCAAATATTGGCCATTAAAAGTTAATTTTGATTTAGAAAAGAAAAGGCAAAAAAACAAACACATGCACACACTTTTGCACATTATTTATTGAAGAGACTTCGAGGGTCTAAACACAGGGCTACCTTTTTTTCTTGGAATACTATGAATTGAAGAAAGCCTAATAGGAGGGTTAAGGTAATCAAGGAGATCGTCACTGGAAATGCTGAAGATTCAACAGGGCGGATCCAGGAATGAGGGGTGGGGTGGGCTAAGCAATAAAAATTTTCGTTACTGCATACAAAAGATTTAGCTTAGGACTGATAGTTATTGAACTGGGTTTTTTTCGAACTACTCGAGTTCGATCGTGATTTCGAATTTAATTTAATAACCAAATCTTAACGAGCTTCAATCTCGAACACGGGCTAAATTTTAGTTTAAATAGTTTGTTTTTACAAACAAAAAAAGCTGCTATTTTTTTTAGTTTGAATAGTTATTCAAACTGAGTTCGAGCATAGTCATGTTCAGTTCGATCTGGACTCGAGCATATTGATAACTTATAAATTATAGAAATAAACTATATACTACCTCCGCCCACTTTTATTAAGACTAATTTGGCTTTTCAAGTCAAAGAAGTTAAACTCTGATTGACTATATATTTATACAATAAAATTGATAATATTAAAATGAAATGGAAATGTTCTTTGTTAAAAAGTTTATCATAAAAGTATAAATTTAGTAAGTTTCACATTAATACATGAGTTAAAATGATGGATCAAAGTTTACCATCTTTGACTAAAGAGTCAAAGATGACTAAATAAAACGAGACGGAAGTAGTATATCTAAAATTTTAATGTTTTTAGTGTGATTTATAATTTTATTATTCATTATTAAAGATTTTAGTATTTATTGATATGAATTAAAATACTTCTATAAAAGTATAAAACTAATAAGCAAGTAAAAATAGTCGATGTACATAAAACTAATAAGTATTCCCAATTTTAAAATTGAATTGAGATTTTGAATCCATTCTTACATGCCTAAACAGTAAGTACATTGTTCTCTATTCTTTAATTGCATAATAAATAAATCATTTTCTAATCTTTAATCTATCTTTAATCATTATAAATTTATAATAAATAAAAACTATTTTACTATCTAATGAAAATATTCAATTAATAATCGTATAGAATTACAAAGTTGGTAGGCTTGGGCTGGGCTAGACATTAATTTTGAGGTGGGCTCGAAATTAAACCTATACCTATAATAATAAAAATAAATTGGGCTGGGCTGGGCTGGAGCCCACCCCTGCCCCAACATAGATCCGCCCATGCCGGCTTCAAGCTTTTATTGATGATTCTTTATGCTTAATTAATCAACCAGCTCAAAACTTCTGCTTTACTTCTGTTTAGCAGTGATTGTCCAGAATATCTGAAAAGCCCTTTTGAATCTGTTTAAGAAAGCTAGCTACATCAAATCCTAGTCAGTGCTAGTTCGTTATGTTCTTTGCATGGTTTTCATAGTAAAACATTATTATTAAGAATACCCTTTTCTTTCATTAACCAATAAGTAATGATGTTTAAACTTTTCTCACATTTTGTGCAAAAAGATTCTAGTTTTTTTAAAATACAAAAATGCCCCTGTGTGAAAAGTAGATGTCAGTACTTGAGAGGAGGAATGGGGGCTGGTTATACAGCAAAGGTAGCACTGGTTGGACCTCAATCGGGAGTGAAGAACTTCAAGAAAAAGATGTATGGGACTGTTTCCAGCATGAAAGGGAAAAAGAACTGAGCAGTCCCACTGTCCAACAAGAATCTACTGCCTCCAGTTGTGTCCTAAGGCTGATGCCAACTGCAGCAAAAATGATCCCAAGAACATCCTCCAACCAGAACCCACCACCCACTCATGAACCCAAAATCATTCAACACTCAGCTCCAGTCATCATACCTGATTGGTCAAAAATCTATCAAACTGGTTCAAACCAGGTCACTACTTACACCCCACCATTTCTGGGTGATAATTATGATCATAGTAGCCAAGCCGAGGATGAAGGTTGTGGATTCGTTAGGGGCGGTTGGGATAGTGGCGGTGAAGACGAAAAAGAAGATGATGAATTTGATGATGGCCTGATACTGCCACCACATGAATGGCTTGGTAGGAGGAAGATTTCAGGAAGCTAGATATTTTCTGTCTCGGTGTGTGAAGGTGCTGGGACGACCTTGAAGTGGAGAGATCTGAGCAGACTTAGAAATGCAGTATGGACCAAAACTGGTTTTCTTGAATTATAACAGTATAGGACATTATTTATTTATACCTTTTGTGATTGCATACTAGTGATGTTAAATGTAGAATTTGGTCCTCTGAAAACCTGGCAAGGGGTCTGTGTTAGTTTTTCATCCCCCAAGGTTGGAATTTCCCATATATGCTTAACACCATGACTCATTCAAAATTAACAGCAATACGTTCAATTCCAGAAAAAATAGTGTGACTGCAAATTTTGTTTCATTCTGGGTTGGAAGAAAATGCATAGTGGTGGACTTATGGGTGCCATATTTTTAGCTTTTCTGTTCAAGTACTTCGTATAATGTAAAACATTGATAAATATTTAAGATCTTAACTTTGTGTATTGGAGAACTTTCATTCAATTCTTTCGATGTGTAGTTGACGTGGATAGATATAATTTTAGCGCAGGTTGAACCCAAAACTATTCATATAAATTTTAGGTATTATAAGTATTGTGTTATGTAAACATGAGATAGTTCCACGCCTAGGTTGATCTCTCAAGGTACACTCCTCAAAATGATGAGAGTAAAATAGAAGCAATGGATATAATACAAATTTTACGCCGACGGTTGAAATTTATGAAATTCTAATATTTATGTTGATTCATGAAAAAAATTGAAAATATTTTAGTAATAAATTAAATAAAAATTTATATCTAAGAATAGGCAATACAGCCAGAAAATTAACTTCAACCTTACTTTTTCTTATTATTAACAATTTAGCGTGTGAAATCAAAATTTACGTGTTTGATGAAAAAACTGACTGATAAGCCGAAAAATAGGGCTACCAAATGGGTTGTAAGTATTTAAGTCCACTTTTGAACAAATTCAACAAATGGGAGAAAAATGAAAATATAGCAAAAAGTAGAATGAGAAAAAGATCTTTTCTAAAAATAGAAAGATTAAAAAGATAATTAAAAAGAGAAATAAGTAAAATGGAAATGCAATAAGAATACAGGAAGAAGAAGAAGAAGAAGAAGAAAATGGCCATAAAAACTAGGAAGGAAATTTTCAAAAAAAACTCCAAATAGAGTGGGGTATGTGATTAATCTTTATACGAAGTACTCTCTCCGTCCCTTTTTATTTAGCCGAACACTGTTTTTCAAGTCAAAGTTGTTCAATTTTGACCGATTATATATTTATACACGAAAATATTGATAATATGAAAATTATATGAAAATATTCTTTGTTGAAAATATTATCATAAAAGTATAAATCTATTAACTTTTACATAAATATATAATGGATCAAAGTTAATCATCTCCGGGAAATAACTCAAGTACACACATAGTCCAACTTTGACTTTTGCAATCAAAGTTTATCTTCTTTGACTGCAAAAGTCAAAGTTGGCTAAATAAAAAGGAACGGAGGTAGTATGTGTTATGTGTCAAGTTAGTGTAACATCTTAATATTAAACCGTATTCTAAATCATGTGAAGTAAAAATGTGCGTGTAATAGTACTTATATTATGCATTACTTACTACCACATATACCTAAATAAACACCTAAAACTCTAAAAGTTCAAGGCGGTGTGATTGTAGCATTTGTAGTAACGTGTTAAATAAATTTATGTTTCTGTTCTCACACTTGTGTTTGACAAGGTAAGAGGGAGATCAAGTTGTATCTAATCCAAAGACTTTCCCAAAGGAGTGTTGCGTCCAAAAGTCGTGTAATATGTTTTGTTCCTGGTTGTTTTAATGTTAAAAACTGATGTAACCGCTTTATAATTTATATATGATGTAAGCCAAAACACACTAGAGAAGATCAGTTGTTAT